TACCATAGTACTCTGGTCTTGAATTGTGATTATCTATGTCCACTTCTGACTCCTTCACTGTACTTGGAATTTATCTTGTCATTCAGCTGGAAATGAGGGACGATTTTGTCAAATTCTTGAGACACAGCTGGGTCTGGATCAGTGTAAGCTGCTCTGGTTTTACAGAACAGATGAAATAACCATTTTCTCCCCCCAAAATCTAAAAAATCTTATAAAGTTCACATTAACAGGGAACTCTTATAATGAGTTAACACCAGGACTCTTGTTCTTGATTCTTTTCTGAGACACCAAAATGAGATATTTTTCAATGCCACCTTAATCTTTTTTTTTTTTCTTTTGAGACACATCTGGGTCTTTTGCTCTGTCACTCAGGCTGGAGCGCAATGGTGTGATCATAGCTCACCAAACGCTTGACCTCCTGGTCTTAAGGGATCCTTTTGCTTCAGCCTCCTGAGTAGATGGGGCTACAAGTGCTTACCACCACACCTGGCTAATTTAATTTAATTTTTTTTTTTTTTTTTGTAGAGATAGGGTTTCATTTATTGCTCTGGCTAATCTTGAACTTCTGACTTCAAGTGATTCTTCAGCCTTGGACTCCCAAAGCACTGGGATTGCTGGCATGAGCCACTCACTGTGCCTGGCTTGCAATTTAATCCTGGAGTGTATAAACCTGGCTCCTGATAGCTATGCATTTCATTGAGAAAGGGGCATTGGATTTTGCATGAGGACAATTCTAACCGAGGAGGGCAGGTCAACAGGAATTCCTGTTGTATGAATAGAGTGCACAGGCGTGGACAATGAGGAGTGAGGAGCCATCAGAACCCCGCATTGTTTAGTGGACATCAGGTTTTGAATAATAGGGAACTTGGTCTGGGAGACTCAAATTTCTGGATTGGAGAATATGTGCTATCACAAGGTTTTTGTTTTTGTTTTTTGTGACGGAGTTTCACTCTATCGCCCAGCTTGGAGTACAGTTGCATGATCTCGGCTCACTGAAACCTCCGCCTCCCAGGTTCAAGTGATTCTCCTGCCTCAACCTCCCGAGTAGCTGGGATTACAGGTGCCCACCACCATGCCCAGCTAATTTTTTTTTTTTGTATTTTTAGTAGAAATGGGATTTAACCATGTTGGCCAGGCTGATCTTGAATTCCTGACCTTAGGTGATCCACCCACCTTGGTCTCCCAAAGTGCTGGGATTATAGGCGTGAGCCACCATGCCCAGCCTGTATCACAAAGTTTTATGATGAAAGGAGAAATATATGTGTGGAACTATTTTCTGATGTGAAAGTGCAAGAAACAGAGTGTACTGAATGCCAAGGCTCCTATTTCAGAAACATGGTAAGTTTGAGGTCTAGTTTCTGGGCTCAGACTGGTATAGGGACCAGGAAGTCTCACAAACCCACAATTCTGGTATTTCAGCGCATATTACGTCTTGGGGTGCAAAGGAAGTACTTGGGACTTAGGCACAAGAGACTTTGTATTGAGAATCAGTGATCGGGGCTGGCCATGGTAGCTCACGCCTGTGGTCCCATTGCTTTGGAAGGCCAAAGTGGGAGGATCGCTTGAACCCAGGAGTTGGAGACCAGCCTAGGCAACATAACCAGACCCTCTTTCTACAAGGAAATAAAAATTAACTGGATGTGGTGGTACATGCCTGTGGTCTCAGCTATTCTGGAGGCTGAGACAGAAGAATTGCTTGAGTCTGGGAGTTCAAGGCTACACTGAGCTGTGATCACGCCACTGCACTCCAGCCTGGGCAACAGAGTGAGACTCTGTCTCAGAATTTGTTATTTTTTAATCAAGAATCAGTGATCATCCCAACCCCTGTTGCTGTTCATCCTGGGCCTGCCTGCTCTGGCTTTGTACCCTGGATCATGTCTCCATGACCTACAGGCGCTGCCCAATCTGGCCTCACACCTTGGGAATGCATCCAGACTGATCTAATATGTGCAGAACAACAAGTGCTGTCTCTCCCTCCCCTTCCACAGCTCTGGGTGTGGGTGTGGGTTGTCCAGCCTCCAGCAGCATAGGAAGGGCCTTGGTCAGCCTCTGGGTGCCAGCAGGGCAGGGGTGGAGTCCTGGGGAATGAAGGCTTTATAGGGCTCCTCAGGGAGGCTCCCTAGCCCCAAGCTCACCACCTGCCCATGGACACCTGTGTCAGCATGCGGTTCCTGATTCTCTCCATCACCCTGTCTGTGGGGTCCACTGGTGAGATGGGGGGACAAAGAAAGGGGAGTGGGTTCTGACTCTTATGCTAAAGCCCTTTCCCTCCCACCCAGTGCTCCAGCCTTGTCCCTTCAGCCCGCAGTTCACCCCAGACAATGTGCCCCGGCTCCTCTACATTGCAGTGGTCCTCATGCCTACACTAGGTCCCCACTCCCTCCCACTTACCCCAGAACTTTCTCCCCATTGCCCAGCCAAATCCCTACTCCCAGCTGCTTTACTAGGGTGGAAATTCCTGGGCACCTCTGTGTTTCTCTTTATGGGGCTCAAAATCTTTTAAGGACCTCTCTCAATGCCAGTGGTTCCTGGGACCCTATCATTGGGCTGCCTCCAGAGCCCCTCAGTCATGCCAGTCTACTGACTTTTCCCATTCAGCTGTGAGCATTCAACCCTGTCCCCTGGACCTTGACACCCGGCCTCCCAATCCTGTCCCAGGAAACCCAGATTCCACCAAACACTTCCTTCTTCCCCCCAAGGCTATCTGGACTGAGACAACAAATGCTGCCCCCAACCCCTAGTCTGGCACTGGGACTCAGAACTGCTCCTTCCCTGACTCTTTGCCCTGGACACTTCGTTCAATGGCCAGCCTTTTCCCTAGGAAAAAACACGAGCACCCCCAACCACAACTGCCAGTTCTCAGATTCCCTAAATCTGCACCCTTTTCAAAACCTCAAAAACCAAATAAAAAACAACTCAGGCAGAACTGTTTGCTTAACCTTGGACATGGTAAACTGCAAAACCTTCCTCTCCCAGCAACTAAACCTCTCCATAGGGCACTTATCCTTGGTTTCTGAAACCCCTTATTCTCTCATAACCCACATCTTCCACCACAGTTTCCCTTCTCCCAGTGCAAAACCCCAAATCACTGCAAATGACCCAGCCCCCAACCTGATGCTTGCTCCAGATGCTGCCCCATGTCCCTGACTCTGATCTCTGGGGTCAGATCAGCTCTTGGAGCATGAAGTCTCCCCGCCTGGCCCAGCCACCAACCCTCCAATGCAGGGAATAGCTACAGAATTCCCAGCCCTCCCAGCACCCCTTATTCATGTGACTCCCAGTCCTGGTCCTCCGCCCCTATGTCTCTTCAAACCCACAGCTCAGCTCCCTCCCCCATCCAACTCTTCTGGCCCCTCCTGTCAATCTGACCCCCCTGACCCAGCACCCTTCTGCAGGTGCCACACCCCTCATCCAGTCTCGGATTGTAGGAGGCTGGGAGTGTGAGAAGCATTCCCAACCCTGGCAGGTGGCTGTGTACAGTCATGGATGGGCACACTGTGGGGGTGTGCTGGTGCACCCCCAGTGGGTGCTCACAGGTGCCCATTGCAGAAAGGAGTAAGTAGCAGCTTGGGATGTGGGAAGAGAATGTCTGTGTCCCACAGGAATCACAGCTGGGTGCTTCCCCTGAGATCACTTCTCCAGTGAGGCTTCAGATTAAAGGGGGAGGGGAGGTCCTGGTCCAGGTCACACTGGGAGGGAGAGCTGGGACTGGACCACTCTCCCCATGGCTGCTTGGGTCTCTCTGTGTCTGGTCTCACTGTGTCTCTTGGTATCTGGCTCTGGTTATGTCTGTATGACTGTGTTTTGATCTCTATCTCCCTCTCTTTTCTGCCTCCCTGTCTCTGTGTCTCCCCTGTCTCTGTGTATCTCTGGGTCTTTCTACCACCATCTCTGTCACCATGTGCCTCACCCTCCTTCTCTCTGCCTGTCTTTCTCTCTGGGTCTCTGCCTCAGCCCTTCCACATCACTATTGAGCACACCCAGATGGGCCTGTGAGTGTGGGTGAGGAGCATCCCATTGAGGAGGGAGGAAGGAGAAAGGGAAGCAAGAAAGGAGGGGAAGGTGGCTGGGTGCAGTGGCTCACACCTGTAATCCCAGCACTTTGGGAGGCTGAGGCGGGTGGATCACCTGAGGTCAGGAGTTCGAGACCAGCCTGGCCAACATGGCGAAACCCCATCTCTACTAAAAATACAAAAATTAGCCAGGTGAAGTGGTGCATGCCTGTACTCCCAGTTACTAGGGAGGCTGAGGCAAGAGAATTGCTTGAACTTGGGAGGTGGAGGTTGCAGTGTAGTCAAGGTCATGTCACTGCACTCTAGCCTGGGTGACAGAACAAGACCTCATTTCACAAAAAATAAAAAACAAAAAACAAAAGGAGGGGAAGGGAGCTGGAGAGAGAAAAGGGGACATGGCCCTGGGCTGTGGGCCAGGCCACCCGCCCCTACAGAGCCCTCACTCCATCTGCAGCAGCAGGTGAACCACCCCCATGCCTCTGCTCCTTCCCCTGCCATTCCACACTCCTCAGATGCCTCTGTGGCCTCCCTCCTTTTTCTCTCCCACTGTGTATCACCCCTGGCTTCCTCTCTGCTGTTTCTCCTTCTCTCTCTGACTTCCTGCATCCTTTTCTCACTTGTCTGCTTCTCATTCCCTTCCTGGATCTGTTCTCTCTCCCTTCCTCTTTTCCGCATCTGTTTCTTGCTGTCCGGGTCTCTTCTTTGCTCGTCCTAACTCTCACTGTTCTCCCCTCCGTTTATGTCATTCCTCTGCCTTTTTATGCTCTTTCTTTACCACTTTGTTTCTCTCAGGTTCTGTTTCTTCGTCTCACACGATCACACTCCTGTTTTCTAACTCACTGTATTCACCATGACTATACCTTCCCCACCCCTGTGTTTTTCTCACTGTTTCTTTTTCTCTCCTTTGGAGACGACCTTATCCTCCCCTGCCCCATCTACCTTTCCCCATTTTCTCTCTCCTCATCCATCCATCCCCATTCTTCCCAGGAATAGCCATGTCTGGCTGGGTCGGCACAACCTGTTTGAGCCTGAAGACAGGCCAGAGCATCCCTGTCAGCCGCAGCTTCCTACATCCGCTCTACAACATGAGCCTTCTGAAACATCAAAGCCTTGGTCCAGATGAAAACTACAGCGACCACCTCATGCTGCTCTGCCTGCTGGAGGCTGCCAAGATCACAGACACTGTGAAGGTCCTGGGCCTGCCCACCCGGGAGCCAGCACTGGGGACCACCTGCTATGCTGCAGGCTGGGGCAGCATCCAACCAAAGGAGTGTACGTCTGGGCCAGATGGTGCAGTCGGGAGCCCAGGTGCCTGGGTGTGAGGGAGGAGAGGCCAAAGAACCAGGTGGGGCCTGGCCACAGCCCAGTTTTTCTCTGACCCGTAGTCTTCCACCCAAAGAGTCTTCAGTGTGTGAGCCTCCATCTCTTTTCCAATGACATGTGTGCCAGAGCTTACTCTGAGACGGTGACAGAGTTCATGTTGTGTGCTGGGCACTGGACAGGCGGAAAAGACACTTGCAAGGTGAGTTATCCCTACTCCCAAGATCTTGAGGGGAAAGGTGAGTGAAGACCCTAATTCTGGGCTGGGACCTGAAAGCTAACCAGACATGTGCCTCCCCTGCTCCCCGGCTATAGCCATGTCCCCTCCCCGGGGCTCATCTGCCGCCCTCCTTCCCCCTTCCCTGACTCCCTCAACATAACGGGTGATTCTCACAGCATAGTTCACCCATTCCTGCATTCAGCACACGCTTACTGGGCACCTGCTATGTGACCAGCACTGCCCTAGACCCTAGGAAGCAGCAGTGAACAGACAAGAGCAGCCCCTTTCTCCCACAGCCTCCTGTGGCCCAGGTGAGGCCCTGCAGGAGGGTGTTTGCGGGAGTGAGCAAAAACCCTCCTGCAGGGCCTTACCTGGGCCACAGGAGGACACTCCTTTTCCTCTGAGGAGTCAGGAGCTGTGGATGGTACTAGAAAGAAGCAGGGCAGGGCCTGGCTCAGGTGTTCAGAGGCTGCCACTGGCCTCCCTGTGGGATCAGACTGCAGGGAGGGAAGGCAGCAGGGGTGTTGGGGGAGCGATGATGAGGCTGACCTGGGGGTGGCTCCAAGCCTGTCCCCGCCGGGGCCCTCACCCAGCCTCTCTCACAGGCTCCTGGCCCTCAGTTTCCTCCCTCCACTCCATTCTCCACCTGGCCTCAGTGGGTCATTCTGATCACTGAACTGACCATGCCCAGCGCTGCCCACGGCCCTCCATGGCTCCCCAGTGCCCTGGGAAGAGGGTGTCTAGTCAGAAACTAGTCCTGGAGAAGTGGCCTCTGATGAGCTGTGGGGGCAGCGTCCTGCAGATGGCCCTGCCTCTCCTCCTGCTGACCTGTCTGCAGGGGCTGTCCTGGATCCTGCCCCCTGTGCAGGAGCTGGGCCCCAAAATCCCTTCCCCATTGGCCAGGATTGGAACCCTGTCCCCTCTGTTGGAATCCCTGCCCATATTCCTGTGGGAGTGGGTTCTGGAGACATTTCTCTCTGTTCCTAAGAGCTGAGAATTGCTGTCAGTCATCTGCCTGTCCAGTTCTGAGAGATGGAGTTGCCTAGGCAGACACTGGGGCCAATCTTTCACTGTGTCTCTCCCCCTGTACCCTTAGGGTGATTCTGGGGGTCCACTTGTCTGTAATGGTGTGCTTCAAGGTATCACGTCATGGGGCCCTGATCCATGTGCCCTGCCTGAAAAGCCTGGTGTGTACACCAAGGTGGTGCATTACCGGAAGTGGATCAAGGACACCATCATGGCCAACCTCTGAGTGCACCTGTCCCACCCCTACCTCCAGTAAGTTTAAGTTCACCTCACGTTCTGGCATCACTTGGCCTTTCTGGATGCTAGACACCTGAAGCTTGGAACTCACCTGACTAAAGCCCAAGCCTCTTGAGTCCTACTAACCTGTGCACCTCGGGTGTGGACTCCAGGGCCGCTAGGAAAAGGAATGGGCGGACACAGGTGTAGACCAGTGTTTCTGAAATGGGTATAATTTCACTCTCTCCTTGGGAACACTGGCTGTTTCTGGAGACTTCTCAGTTTCACTGAGGACACGCACAAGGATGTGGGTGACCATGTTGTTTGTGGGGTGCAGAGATGGGAGGGGTGGGGCCCACCCTGGAAGAGTGGACAGTGACACAAGGTGGTGATCTGCTCTCTGCGTAAGCTGGAGGCACGATGCACGAGGCACTCACACAGCTAGGAGGAAGCTGAAAACACAGCCCACTCTGTCCTGGGGGCACTGGGAAGCCTAGATAAGGCCATGAACAGAAAGGAGGGGAGTATCCTCCTATGTTGTTGAAGGAAGGACTAAGGGGAGAAACTGAAAACTGATCCATTACAGAAGATGTGTTCAGGTCCCCCAAACCAGATTTGATGATTTCCTAGTAGGACTTACAGAAATAAAGAGCCGTCATGCTGTGGTTTATTATGGTTTGTTACATTCATAGGATACACATTCAAATCACCAAACAAAGCAGACGTACAGATTGGAGTGTGGAGAAAACAGGAAAACTTGCAGTTACTAGTCTTGCTTTACGAAGTTTTCATACTGGCAGGAAGTGAAACCTATTAGGCTGAGGACCTTGTGGTGTGTAGCTGACCAAGCTGATAGAGGAACTAGCCAGGTGGGGGCCTTTGCCTTAGGATGGGGGCACATCTGACAGTTATTCTCTCCCAGTAGAGTCTTATGGTCAGCACATAATTCTCCCTGCCAGGATATATGATAATATGTATGAAGTAATTCCAGCTAAGGAAGCTCACCTGATGTTTAGTGTCCAGTGTTTTTATTTGGGGTCTGTAGGATAAGTATAGAGTACTTACTAATTGACCTTAAGTGCCCAAACCTGAAGTTTCCCAGAGGTCAAACAGATATAGCATGGTCCGGGTCCCAGATGTACAAAAACAGGCATTCATCACAAATCACATTTTTAGCATGAATCATATGGCATGGCCTAAGGTCCCACATATACCAAGGCACTTGGGCAGAACATTCCAAGGGATCAAATGTTGACTCCCAGGAGCTATTCAAGAATGAGCACTTTGCTTGGAATGTGAAGACAGTGACTTTCTTCTCTACTGGTTCCATGTCTCTGCCATTAGCTCAGATTTTATCTTCTTGTCCTTGTCTTTCTGTCTCCATCTCTGTCTGTCTGTCTCTTTGCATGTGTATATTTGCGTGTGTGCATCTTATTTTTTCTGTTTCTCTAAAAATTCTGTCTGAGACAAACTTTACTAGTGCTTCTAGAGAAAGGAAGTCTTAAGGATGAGCTTTCTGAATTCTGGCATTTCTCATTCTTGGAATTAGTTCTGTAATGAGAATAAATCTAAAGGCACCAATAGACTTATTTTCAGTAATACAAACAGAAATAGAAGTCCATGGTGTGATGTGGCAATAGAGATACACAAAATATCACCACTGGATAGTCCTAATAAAATAAAGGGGCAATGTCTGGGGTGATCGTGTATATGATACTTTGGAATATTTTTTTTAAGTAACAAGCATAATGAAATTGGATGATTGCTCCTAGTTGTGTTGGCAAAAGTTGAAAAGAAAAGAATGAGCACAGGACTTTAAATTCCCAGGTCACAGACTGAAGAAGTAATCTAAAGTTGCTATGTCTATGTTGAAAGAAACATTTATTTCCTGTAGCCACAGGGCTGAGATTTCTGAAAATCAAACCTAGAATCTTATTGTATGAGTGGCTGAATTACAATGCTAATTAAATCCTCAGCATACAGGCTGTCTGGCATTAAAGCGAAGGCATAATTGGAAAGGGTAGGGATCCCCAACATTGGAATGAAGACATATGGGAAGACTCTGATTATGGTGAGGAGGCTGGGGGAAGGTTCTAATTAGAGGATTCAGCCTGAGGCTTTAAAAATGAAGATCCAGGGGGCAGATGGGATGTGGCCAGTGTCTGGCAGGATGTGGGGCATTTGGCATCTATCCTGGTGCCTGAGGAAGCAGTGACCTCTCCCAAGAGGGAGAACCCAAGAGGAAGAGGATGTTGGGGAGGAGGAGAGACAAATGGCAAAAGGAAATTTATTTTGCCGAAGGTGGGATGAATTTGTGTCTGGAAGGATCCAAGTAGGGCCAGGAAGGTTCGGCTTCAGCTTGGCTTACACTGTCCACAGAAAAGTTCAACTCAGCTTTGATCCCTCTCCTATCATGTGGCTGTGCCCAGCTGGGGCCCCTCCTACCTCCCACCCTTCCATCTCCAGCTGGACAGGTGCAGCCTTAGTGCCCAACTCTTTGTCAAAAACTCTGAAGGGGCTGATATTTTGCCAACTCGCAAACAAGTGGCCTGCCACAGTTTTATGGATACTGGCAGAACACACCAGATTCTGTGTGCCTTAGTGCCCAACTGTTTGTCAAAAACTCTGAAGGGGCTGATATTTTACCAACTCGCAAACAAACTAGCCTGCCACAGTTTTATGGATCCTGGCAGAACACACCAGATTCTGGATCAAAGACAAAGGACTTTATTACTCACAGCACAGCAGGCAGCATGAGCTTTGTATTCACATTAGTTCACCTTGACCCCAAGTCCCACAGGAATGACCAGAGAAGTCCAGGGGGATCCTGTGCACACAGTGCTTTCTCCACCGCTGAGAAACCTGACCTTAGGAATGCTGAATCTTATAAGGGGACTGTTCATATTTGTCCAAGAGGAAGTTCTTCGTTAACGTTATCCCAGCCACAAACAGACCTGCTCTCTACATTTATTTTACTGAACACTAAACAAATCTGTTTTAAGGGACATATTATCTTTATTACACTGGCCGGTAAGCAAAGCTGTTCTGTTGAAAATATCATTTGCAAGATTGCTTGCTAGCCAAACATCCTTGATAGTCCAAAGGAACTTTTTTTTTTTGTTTTCTTAGAAGACATGTAGAAACATGAGAGGCCCATGGAGAACTTTTTCTTAGAATCATAATTTAAATGCTCTCAACTTCCCTGTAGAACAACCTTATATTTCTTCCTTATACTCCTTGTCTGCCACATCTGTGTTACCCTAGCCTCACCATTGTTCCAGGTGCAGTTCCCAGTGACAGCAGGAAAAATATGGGGATCTCATCTGTATGTGCCCTATTGTTGCTGTCTGTTTACCTGTGGATTTGCCTTTGAGAGGACATATCCACATTTCCCAGTGTAGAGACTCACGGTCTTCTGACTGTGAAAAGTCCCTCTTGGTAACTGCATAGTGCAGTTGTGTGTGTGTGTGTGTGTGTGTGTGTGTGTGTGTACATGTGTATGTGGTGGATGTTAAAGACCCTACTGTCCACTACCTGCCCACACATGTAACTATGTCCCCATATGGGAAAACTAATGAGTAGCCGTCAACACCAAGTGTCTGACTTGGGAGATGATCTAGAAATGGATAAATCTTTCTTGTCCTAGCTGCCTGTGTCTCCAGAATATGTCTTTCCCATAAATTCCCAGTTCTGTGCCTGGGAATTACCTGGAATCAAATCTATGAGCCTGTATTTGAATGTCTGGTCCCTGGGGTTGGAGTCTGCAACTTTGAATCACCACTAAGTGGCTTTAGGGATGAATCATAGTATTAGCCTTGACTCTCTATATCTGGGGCTGCACATCTGTCTGACTTTGGCTGTATTTGTTTCCACAATCTGAATATCCACGTATATGTGTCATACTAAGTGATGTGTCCTTGACTAAAATAACTGATACTTATTACTGTGTATTACAGTTACTGTGTGCCAGGCATTATCATGCACACCCAGACACATGTATATACACAAAGACACATTTTCCTATTTAAGTCTTAAGAAAACCCCCAGGGCCAGGCACTGTGGCTCACATCTGTAATCCCACCACTTTAGGAGGCTGAGGTGGGTGGATCACCTGAGGTCGGGAGTTCGAGACCAATCTGACCAACATTGAGAAACCCTGTCTCCGTATACTAAAAATACACAATTAGCCAGGCTTAGTGATGCATGTCTGTAATCTCAGCTAACTCACGAGGCTGAGGCAGGAGAATCACTTGAACCTGGGAGGTGGAGGTTGCGGTGAGTCGAGATCATGCCATTGCACTCCACCCTGGGCAACATGAGTAAAATTCCGTCTCAAAAAAAAGAAAAAGGAAAAGAAAATCCCCATTAACAAGTTAGGAAATGGAAAGACACTGAGGTCAAATAATTTTCTCAAAGATTAAGAACTAATATGTTTGATCCCAGGTGGTCATACACTTGGATGCAACCACCATACCATAGACCCATGTCTGTGAATTGGTTTTCAGGGGGTTACTGAGAATATGGCCCCTCCAAGTCAAACCTGACACTGCATATCAGTGTTTCTCTCCTGTGTACCTTTACTAAGGCCACACCTTCTATGTTCAGAGCTTGTGTGCAAGTGTGTGCATCTGTAACACTGAGTATCCAGACCTACAGTGAAGTGTAGATTTGGGTCCGAGCTTCTATGTCCAAAGCCGTGTGTGTGTGTGTGTGTGTGTCTGTGTATGCGCATGCACACCCATGTCATAACTGTCCACACTTACATACAAATATCAATGTTCATGTAGCGATTCTTGAAGCTGAGACCTATTTATATGTTAAGTGAAGGTAAGCTATAAGTGCTGTCCATAGCAGTACCTATGTTTGAAAGTCTGGTTGTGCATGTATGTAGGTCCACAATCTAGTATGGCCACATCTGTGCCCTTGTATAACTCTGAGTTTGGCCGAGATGCACAAACTCTGGGACCAAATTTGTGTGTCATACATACTGAGTGTCATATCCATTTACTATCTGTGACAGCTGAATGACCCTGAATGACTGGCTCCAAGTGACCACCTGCCCAAACACTGCATCCAGTGTCTTTATCTTCATCCCCAACCACAGAGAACTTCTTGTTCTCTGGTCTTTTCCCCTTTCTCTCTCTTTGGGGAACCTGTAACACATGAGATGGGTGGTGGGAACAAAAAAGGATACAGTTCCAGGGAAAAAAGGCAAAAGTTTTTTTAAAGCTAGAGAGCAAACAGTATTGTAGAAACACATCAGGGACTCCTGGAGAAATTGAGGGGAAGGCATAAGTGAAGAAATGTAGGTAGATGAGGGCACAGCCAGGGAATAGGAGGTGAGAAGGACCCTGTCCTCATGGATCCTCTACCGCCATCCCAGAGGCCCAGGACGGTGACTAGGTCCTGGGAACTGAGGAGTGTGTGCTCTGCTCCCAACCTTGGCAAGCTACTCTCTTTAAACGTGGACACTTTGTAGTTCTTCATGCACTGTCCCCCACTGTGAGCTGTCTGAGGCCCACTACCAAATTTGGTAAGAAGGCAAGGGCTGGGGTCCTGAAAAAGGTGGCTGGAGTAGGACCCATGGGTTCTGTACCTGGGGTTGGAGAAGTCTGAGAACTGGGAGTCCTGGGTCTTGGGGAAGGAAAATGTTGGGACTCTGGACTCTTGTATTTTAATGGGTGTGGGGAGAGAGTCTTTGACCCTTCTATTCCGAGTACTGGAGCTTGGGGACTACAGCCCAGTGGGCGTGTGCCCACACATTGGAACTTGGCTTAAAGGCAGGAGTAGGGGCCATTGGTACTAGGGTCTCAGGAAGTGGTAAGTGGAATTTCAGATTATCATAGGGTTTGGGGACCCATGATTGCTAACATTTGGGTCTTTCTGTCTTCTCCACACTCAGCTTGTGGGTAACCACCCTCCTGCTCAGCTTCCTATAATTGCTGGGCCAGCAGGAGCCGGGAAGGCTCTGAACAGCTGAAGGGCCTTTGGCGCATGTTCTGACATTACTGCACTAGGAGGATCCCGGCGCACTGCTATGACGTCACGTCGGCGCGACTATCCAGCATAACCGGAGGGCCTCTCTAGTCACAGGTATCACATGGCACTGCCCACGTCTGCCCCCTTGTGTCCACCATGGTGTCTGACTTAGGCTTTGTGTCCATAGGGAGGAGCCTAGGACCGCAGGGAGGCTTGGGTCACAAGATGCTAGAGAAAAGTCAGATGTGTCCAGCCTATGAAACCTGAACTACGTGGCTTTTGGGAAGAGGGTAGGGTCCTGAATTTATGGGTCCTCCTCAAGTTCAGGATCTTCCCTGGTGGGTCGCCTTGATAGGTTGTATCGTGCCAACATCAGCATTATTTCAGACACATCTTGTAATATGGACTACTCAGGGCACCTGATGGACACCGTGGTGTGTGCATGTTTGGAGGGTCCTAAGATCAGAGCTGGGAGTGAGAAGAGGTATGGGAACAGGTTTAAGAGTAGGAATAGGGTTGGGTTTGGTTTCTTTTAGCCGAGGGAAAATAATGAGGATAGGAATTAGGGGGTGGAACAGAAAGAGCAGTTAGAATGTGCAGTGGAGTAGTGGTTGTGGTTAGAATTGGGGATAGAGTTAAGTAAAATTGGATTGGTATTGGACTGAATGACATGAGAGTTGGTTTGGGTTGGTATGGTTAAGTGGTTGGAATGGTTTGGGTTGATTTTCAGAGGGAAAAATCTGAAGGATAGTAGTCTGTGTACTTTGGGATGCATAAGGCATTCCCCTTAGATGAGGCTGGCAACTGAGGGAGGGAGGGAACATTCTGGTCCAGCCATTGGGGGTGTACCACCCTCCCGGGGGCTGCCTAGGTCTCTCTCCTTGTCTCTGTATGTCTGGTCTCACTGTGTCTCTCAGGATCTGGCTCTGCTTGTGTGTCTGTGTGACTGTGTTTTGGTCTCTGTCTCCCTCTTGCTTCTCTGTCTCTTTGTTTCTGCATCTCCACCATCTCTGTCTGTCTCTGGGTTTCTCTGGCATCGCTGTCACTGATCCTCACCCTCCAGCTCGCTGCCCATCTCTCTCTCTATCTGGGTCTCTACCTCACCGCTCCCCCATCCCTACAAACACACACCCAGATGGGCCTAAGGGAGGCCCAAGAGCAAAGGAAGGGCTTTATCCCCAACGTGTGTGTCTGAGGGGCACCTCTCTCTCTGCCCAGCCCACTACAGGACATCCCTCCATTCTGGGGAGACACAGGGAAGGCTGGTTTCAGCAGGAGTTGGGTGAGGAACTGAGGGAGCAGGAAGGAGAAGCGGGGGTAAGAAAGGCGGGGAGGGTGCTGGGGAGGGAAGGGGGCCTCAACCTGGGACTTTAGCCCAGGCCACCCCCCGCCCCGGGGAGCCTGCACCACAGCCCCAGCTGCAGCTGAGCTGCTCTCAGGCCTCCCCTCCTCCCTACCTGCTCCCACCCTCACCCAGGGCCTCCCTCCCTTTTCTCTCCCACACTCAGTCACCCCTCCTTCCTCTCTGCCTCTGTTTCTAGTTCTCGCTCTGACTTCCCGAGCCCTTTTTCATTTGTCTGCTTCTCGCTCCCTTCCGGGTCTGTTCCCTCTTCCTCCCTCTCCCCTGGGCCTGTTTCTCGCTGTCCCTGTCTTTTCCCCTTCTCGCAGCCTCTGTTTTGCTCACCCTGTTTCCCATCGCCCTCCCCCTGCCTCTCACCCCTCTGTCCTCTTGAGCTCTCTCCTTCCCCTGTTTCTGTCTCTCCCTTTGACACTGCCACATCCCTCTCCCCTCTCACTCACTGTCTATTTCTCCAGGACTTTATCTTTCCTCCCCACCCACACATTTTTCTGTTTCTCATTCTGTCTTTGGGGACCATCCCCCAGCTCTCCTGCCCCATCTCCCTTCTACTTCTCATCCTTCCGTCTCCATCTTTCTCTAGCCATGTCCAGGTCTGTTGTGGTCCCTGTTTCTGCCTGTGCCCGTCATCAGCAAGAGGGCTGCCGGAGGGAGGGGCTGCTCTGTCTGTTCACTGCAGCTTCTCAGGGCGAGGGGCGGTGTTGGGCGCTTAGCTCCACCTGGGGGAGCAGAGGGAACAGCACCTGCTCAGGCCTGGGAGGAGGGGCCTGGAGGATGTGAGGATCGGAGAGGAGGCTGTGTGGTTGGAGTGATCAGGGACAGAGAAGAGAGGGCCCCTCCTGCAGGTCCTCACCTGGGCCACAGGAGGACGCTGCTTTCCCAATGGGGGTTGAGAGCTGTGGATGGTGTTGGACAGAAGCAGGACAGGACCTGGCTCAGGTGTCCAGAGACTGCCACTGGCCTCCCTGTGGGATCAGACTGCAGGGAGGGAGCGTGGCAGGGGTGTCGGGGGAGTGATGATGAGGATTACCTGGGGGTGGCTCCAGGCCTTGTCCCCACCTGGGCCCTCACCCAGCCTCCCTCACAGGCTCCTGGCCGTCAGTCTGTCCTCTTCACTCCGTCTCCAACCTGGTGCCCCAGTGGGTCATTCTGACCTCAGAACTGACCTTGACCAGTCCTGCTCACAGCCCCCCATGGCTCCCCAGTGCCCTGAGGAGGGGGTGTCTCACCGGAGACCAGTCTTGGAGAGGTGACCGCTGCGATGCGCCTGTTGGTGGAGCGTCCTGCAGATGGTCCTTCCCTTCCTCCCGCTGACCTGTCTGCAGGGACTGTCCTCCTGGACCCTGCCCCTGAGCAGGAGCTGGTCCCCGAAGTCCCTTCCCTATCGGCCAGGACTGGAGCCCTGTCCCCTCTGTGGGAATCCCTGCCCACCTTCCTTTGGGAGTGGGCGCTGGAGGTCCAGGTCTGAGAGCTGGGGCTGCCCAGGCAGAGCTTCGATGCCACCGTTCTCACCCTCCCCACCTGGAGCTCCCAGGGTGACTCAGGGAGCCCACTGGTTTGCGGTGGCATCCTCCAAGGAATCATGTCATGATCAGAGATGGGATTTCTCCATGGTGGCCAAGGGGTCTCGAACTCCTGACCTGACGTGATCCGCCCACCTCAGCCTGACAAAGTGCTGGGATTACAGGTGTGAACCACCGCACCCGGCCCTATGCCGAAGCTTAAGTCCTCTTCTGTTTCAGGAAGGTTTGTGGTTCTTGTACACATTTATTGTCTCATTGCTTTTAATTTTTTTAAAATTTCTTCTCTTTTATGGAAGGAATATGTTCAATTGTCTTTACTTTTTTAAAAATATCTATCATTTTCTCTCAAGTTGTATTTTTGAAAAAATCTGTTTCTGTTCATCGGCAAGAAAAGAAAGAAATAAGGGATTTTAAAGCAGGAGCCCACGGGGAAGTAGAGTGGAAGTTCTTGACAAAACTGAGGCATTTACCCTACAGTTAGGTGAGGGATGGAGAGCATGCCTGGTTCTGCCTCAGAAAATGTATAAAGGTAAGACGTTGGCAGCCCCGGTCCAAGGAGGGCTGCACTGCAAATGGACTGCACGCTGGGTCGTGGCAGGGCAGAGGGGTTTGGGAGCTGCATCTGGGTCAGGGACCCCTGTCAGGTGGGTTGGTCCCGGTGGTGCCACCCACCAGCCCTGCATCTTAGGTCCACTGCCACTGAAGAAAACCATGTGATTCGGGTCGCTGTGAAAGAGATTTATTAACAGAGGACTGTCAGAAGCAGGTGAGGAAGACAGAATAGTGTAGGGGAAGGAGCCAAGGAGAAAGACATGATGTGGGCTTGGCTCGAGTCACCCTTCAGCCTGAGCCTGATGGTGGCTCTGGAGGATGAATTGCCCCCACAAAGCCCCCACCTTGGCTGGGTGTCGTGGTTCACACTTGTAATCTCAGCACTTTGAGAGGCCAAGGTGGGTGGATCACTTGAGACTAGGAATTCAAGACCAGCCTGGCCAACATGGTGAAACCCTGTCTCTACTATAAAAAAAAAAAAAATAGCTGGGCCTGGTGGTGGGCATCTGTAATCCCAGCTACTCAGGAGGCTGGCACAGGAGAATCGCTTGAATCCAGGAAGTGGAGGTTGCAGTGGGTGGGGATCACACCGCTGCACTCCAGCCTGGTTGACAAGAGTGAGACTCTGTCTCAAAAATAGTAAATAAAAAGCGCCCACCTTGAAGGAGGATGCCTGACTTCTGTTCCCCAAGCTCTCTGCATCATCAGCCACTGCCTGCTTTACAGTGAGGTGGGCATGATCTCCTGGGTAAGGCAGCTCATGAAGCAGTCAAGAGCTTTAGAAGACAGTTCTTGAGGGACAGAGGTGTTGACAGTTGTTATGATACCTTGGTTCGTGTCTTTTTAGTTTAAAAGAATTTAAACTAAAAAGAAGAAGAGCTAAAGATCCTAAATATATACGCACCCAATACAGGAATGCCCAGATATATAAGACTTATAAAGAGACTTAGACTCCCACACAACAATAGTGGGAGACTTCAACATCAATATTAGACAGATCAATGAGACAGAAAGTTAACATCGATATCCAGGACTTGAACTCAGATCCAGAACAAGTAGACTTAATTAACATTTATAGAACTCTCCACTTTAAATACACAAAATATACACTCTTATCAGTACCACATCACACCTATTTACAGGTTTAAATGAAATATTGGTTGGCTGCTTGTTAGTTATTTTCTTCCCTCATTTTTTTTTTCATGTCTCTTTTATTAAACACAATTACAGGCATACCCATTTTTAGACTGCATTCTAGCCCGGGCAATAAAGCAACACCCCTGTTCTCTCTCCCTCTTCCTCTTCCTCTTTCTTCCTCTCCTTCATTCTTTTTTTTTTTTTATTCTTTCTCTTTCTTTCTCTCCTTCTTCTAAAAAAAAAAAAGAATTTAAACGACAGAGGAGGTGTAGCATAGAGTAACTTATCGCAAAAGAAAAAGAATATATTGAAAGTTAGGTGCGGAATAGACGGTACACCCTGAGAGAGAGAATTCAGAGCAGGCTGCTTGTAAGATGAGACAGCAAAAGCTGGCACTAGGGAGGCTCCTTTTATGGGAGTTTTACACAGCTGTTCATAAGGAGGTGAGAAGAGGTGTTACTAGAAGCATGTTCTGGGTGGTTCTCTGGGTGCACACGCACAGTGTCTGCATATGCTTGTGCATCTGTCGCATGTCTCATTAGTGTCTTCAGTCTCTACCCAGGGATTTTTTTTTTTTTTTTTTTTTGAGACGGAGTTACGCTCTTGTTACCCAGGCTGGAGTACAATGGCGCGATCTCGGCTCACTGCAACCTCCGCCTCCTGGGTTCAGGCAATTCTCCTGCCTCAGCCTCCTGAGTAGCTGGGATTACAGGCACGCGCCACCATGCCCAGCTAATTTTTTGTAGTTTTAGTAGAGACGGGGTTTCACCATGTTGACCAGGATGGTGTCGATCTCTTGACCTCGTGATCCACCCGCCTCGGCCTCCTGTGTTTTTACTATGATAATGAGCAAAGGGTCGGTCTGAGGACAGGTAAGTTAAAAATGCGCTCTCTAGAGGGAAAGATCTTTATGGAAGACAGCTTTGCTTGAATGAGCTCAATGACAGTGCAAATGCTGAGGCTCACTCTGTGAACTGTAGGTCACTACAGTTGCTGTGTCCCAAGGGTGTCACTTCCTTGACTACCTATCCAGCCTCTGAGGGTGGGCCCAGCAGAATCCCCTCCACTGTGGGCCTGGGACTTGTGTCTTAGGCAGCCCATGCCTCATTAATACTATTCCCATGTAACAGCTCGGCCGGAAAGGGATCGTGATCCAGACCCCAAGAGAGGGTTGTTGGATCTCACACAGGAAGGAATTCAGGACAAGGTTGTAGAGCAAAGTGAAAGCAAGTTTATCAGGAAAGTAAAGGAATAAAAGAATGGCTACTCCATAGACAGAGTAGCCCCGAGGGCTGCGGGTTGCCCATTTTTATGGTTATTTCTTGATGATATGCTAAACAAGGGATGGATTATTCAAGCCTCCCCTTTTTAGACCATGTAGGGTAACTTCCTGCCATGTAACTTTGGCATGGCATCTGTAACCTGTCATGGTGCTGGCGGGAGTGTAGCAGTGAGGACGACCAGAGGTCACTCTCGTCGCCATCTTGGTTTTGGTGGGATTTGGCCGGCTTCTTTACTGCAGCCTGTTTTATCAGTAAGGTCTTTATGACCTGTATCTTGTGCTGACCTCCTGTCTCATCCTATGACTTAAAA